GACAATCCCCTGGGATACTGGAGGAGGACAAGGACATTTGTGGGCTGGCATGGAAAGGACACGTGGGGACAATGTCTGGGATGCAGGAACAGGACAGGGACATTGGTAGACTGACATGGAAGGGACATTTGGGGATSATTCCCTGGGATACTCGAGCAGACACAGGAGAGGGGACATCTGTGGGCTGGCATGCTGGGGACATGAGGAGAGCACTCCCTGGGATAGCRGTGCAGGAGCAGGACAGGAAATGTTTGTGGGCTGTCATGGAAGGGACATTCGGGGACAATGTCTGGGATACTGGAGCAGCACAGGGACATTTGTGGGCTGACATGGAAGAGACACATGGTGACAATCCCCTGGGATGCAGGTGCAGGAACAGGACAGGGACATCAGTGGGTTGGCATGGAAAGGACATTTGGGGACAATCCCTTGGGATACTCATGCAGGAACAGGACATGGGACACTTGTGGGCTGGCATGCTGGGGACACATAGGGACAATCCCCTGGGATAGTGGTCAGGAGTAGGACAGGGAATGTTTGYGGGCTAGCACAGAAAGGACACATGGGGACCATGTCTGGGATGCAGGAACAGGACAGGGAATTGGTGGGCTGGCACAGAAAGGACACATGGCCGACTTTTTCTTAAGGATATTTGGTTTTTCTGCCCAGCAGAATCTTTAAACTCAGCTGGAATATCAGACCGCAGGAATTACAGGTTAAGGGATACAAGGGATACACAAAGGGCACAGAAATGTTTAAAAGGGTATAGAAAATACATTAAAAGGGTACATAAAAAGGAAAAAATAATCAAAAATCACCATGCGTCAGAATCAGCTGCCAGCACTCCCAATTTTGGTTCCACCAGCCGCACTGGGCAGCATCTGGGGAGCTCATTCCTGAGGAATTGTTGCCTTACAGTTTTAATAATGACTACAGGCACAGTTAAGGGGATGAAAAGGGTTTTGCTTTGGTATTTGGGATTTCAGGTGCACAGCTCGATAGAAAAATGTTATATACACGGTGCATAACACAGATATAAGTTTTATAGACTTTATAAATTAGTGTTTTTATTTTGGGTTTTTTTAATAAGAAACTTAACAAATGAAGTGATGTTTCCTTATTTTAATGAATCTTTTCTGGAATGGGACCGGAGCTCAGTTCACACAATATGTTCCAGAGAGAAGGTTTCAYTCAAGGYTGGAGCCTCAGGTTTAAGACAGCACAGGACATGACGACTTTTCCTTGAGGATATTTGGTTTTTCTGCCCAGCAGAATCTTTAAACTCAGCTGGAATATCAGACTGGAGGAATTAGAGGTTAAGGGATACAAGGGATACACAAAGCGTACAGAAATGTTTAAAAGGGTATAGAAAATATAAAAAAGGGTACATAAAAAGGAAAAAATAATCAAAAATCACCATGCATCAGAATCAGCCACCAGCACTCCCAATTTTGGCTCCACCAGCCACACTGGGCAGTGTCTGGGAAGCTCGTTCCTGAGGAATTGTTGCCTTGAATGGCAAGTTTTAACAATGACACAGGCACGGTTAAGGGCATAAAAAGGGTTTTGCTTTGGTRTTTGGGATTTCAGGTGCACAACTCGATGGAAAAATGTACAGGTTAAGAGGTACAAGGGATACATAAAGGGCACAGAAATGTTTAAAAGGTACAGAAATGTTTTAAATTGTTTATATTATAATATAAAATATATTAAAAGGGTATATGAAAAGGAAAAAATAATCAAAAATCATCAGGCATCAGAATCAGCCACCAGTACTCCCAGTCTGGCTCCACTGGTTACGCTGGGGAGCATCTGGGGAGCTCGTTCCCAGCTGGGACTGGCCCTAATAGGGTGAAATGCTTTGGGAACACCCCAAAAACACCCCAAAATGAGGGAAACTTCCCACCCCAACCCAAGGCTCAGCGCTGGTTTGCAGACAGATGAGCAAGAGTGCTGCTCCCACAGGTGTTCACCGGGATCTTCACGGCTGAGATGGTGCTGAAGCTCATCGCTCTGGATCCCTACGAGTATTTCCAGCAGGGCTGGAACATCTTCGACAGCTTCATCGTCACCCTGAGCCTGGTGGAGCTGGGCTTGGCCAACGTGCAGGGGCTCTCCGTGCTCCGCTCCTTCCGCCTGGTGGGTGACAGGGGACAACTGGGAGGTGACAGGGACAGGGTGGGGGTGGCTTGGGCAGCCTCCTCCGTGGTGGAGACCCACCTTGGGAGGAAAACTCTGAAGGCTGGGAATTCAGGGGAGTGGGAGTCAGAGCGTTTGGGGGTTTAACCCCTCCTGCCTTGATCAAACAGCTGCGGGAGGGTCAGATGGCCGCGTCACCGCCCCACTGACACTTTGTGACAGTGACACCCCTGTCTCTCCTTGTCCCTGCAGCTCAGGGTGTTCAAGCTGGCCAAATCCTGGCCCACCCTCAACATGCTCATCAAGATCATTGGCAACTCCGTTGGTGCCTTGGGCAACYTGACGCTGGTGCTGGCCATCATCGTCTTCATCTTCGCCGTGGTGGGGATGCAGCTCTTCGGCAAGAGCTACATCGAGTGCGTGTGCAAGATYTCGGTGGATTGCACCCTGCCCCGCTGGCACATGAATGACTTCTTCCACTCCTTCCTCATCGTCTTCCGCATCCTGTGCGGCGAGTGGATCGAGACCATGTGGGACTGCATGGAGGTGGCCGGCCAGACCATGTGTCTCATCGTCTTCATGATGGTCATGGTCATCGGGAACCTCGTGGTGAGGGCTGGGGGCTGGGGACGCTCACGGCGGGTGGGGACACAGGGGGTGCTGGGGTGGGGATGCCTCGGCCCAACTCAGCTTTCCCACGGGGCTGTGCCCATGGGCAGGGTCCGGTTGGGCTGGACAGGAGTGTGGGGATCCTGTTCCTGCCCCAGACCCTTGGGGTGGGCTGTGCCCGTGGGCAGGGTCCGGTTGGGCTGGACAGGGACACGGGGATCCTTCTCCCGCCCCAGACCCTCGGGATGGGCAGGGTCTGGTTGGGCTGGGCAGGGGCACAGGAATCCTGTTCCTGCTCCAGACCCTTGGGGTAGGCTGTGCCTTTGGGCAGGGTCTGGCAGGAGCTGGGCTGGACAGGGGCACAGGGATCCTCCTCCCACCCCAGACCCTCGAGATGGGCTGTGCCAGCTGTGTGTGAAGCAGGGGCAGAAATGATTCCTGAAGGACCTTCAGCTGAAAGCAGGCCAGGAACTGAGGGGAAAATGAGGCAYRGGTGACAACAATGGRCTTTAGGCAGAGGCAGGAGGAACTCTGGGACAAGGCAGAGCTCAGATCCAAGCTGCCCTGAGTGCTCCACTTGGCTTTCCTGACCCGTTTCCCTCTCTGCTCAGAGGGATGGAGGCAGAGCTGCATCCATCCACCCATCCACCCATCCACCCATCCATCCATCCATCCATCCATCCATCCATCCATCCATCCATCCATCCATCCATCCATCCATCCATCCATCC